AAGTGGATGTACCATTTGTGTTTCCAACTGCTGTGAATGGGAGTTCCAGTTCCTCCACATCCTTGCTGATGTTTGGCATGGTTTTTTTGACTTTTCAACATCCTCATGGGTGTGTAGTGGGATCTCATTGTGGTTCTAGTTGGTGTTTTCCTAACGTCAGGGGATGCTGAGCATCTTTTCATGTGTGTATTCGCCACCCATATTATCTTGTTTGATAAAGTGTCTGTTCAAGTCTTTTGACCATTGTAGACTATAGGGTCATTTGTTTTCTTATCATTGAACTGTGAGATATCATTATGGAGCCTGATATACATTTCTGCCTTGGCCAGCTTCCTCTGGGATGAGGGAATGAGTTTCAGGAAGAAGAATGTGGCTTCCAATTCTAGGGCATGTCAATGTAGAATTCTAGGGCATATCAATGTAGAGTTCTCCTTGAATTCTCCCTTCCAAGTGCTCTGTGATTAGCTGGGCTTTTTTTCTTTTTTTTTTTTTTTGAGTTGGGGTCTCATTCTGTTGGCCAGGCTGGAGTGCAATGGCACAATCTTGGTTACTGCAGCCTCAGCTTCCTGGGCTCAGGTGATCCTTCTGTCTTAGCCTCCTGAGTAGCTGACATGTACCACCACGCCCAGTTAATTTTTTTTTTTTAGTTGGAGTCTCACTCTGTCGCCCAGGCTGGAGTGCAGTGGCTCACTCATGGCCACCCCAGCGTCGACCTGCTGGGCTCCAGCAATCCTTCTGCCTCAGCCTTCCAAGTACCCAGAACTACAGGCGCGCGCTACCACGCCTGGCTAACAGAATGAGACCCCAACTCATTCTCATCTCATTATTGTAGAGATGAGATCTCGCCAGATTGCCCGGGCTGATCTCAAACCCACGGGCTCAGGCAATCCACTCGCCTTGGCCTCCCAAAGTGCTGGGATTACAGGCTGAGCCACCAAGCTTGGTCCAGCTAATTTTTTATAGAGAGATCTTGTTATGTTGCCTAGGGTGATCTTGAACTCCTGGGTTCAAGCAATCTTCTTGCCTCAGCCTCCCAAAGTGCTAGATTGCAGATGTGAGCCACTGCGCCTGACTTCACTGTTCTTTAGAGTTCTAGGTGCCCAATTCATTTCCTGCCTCTTTTACTTGGCACTAGGCCCTGGCTTCGTGGGTGTGGTCCCCTACTTTTTGGGCAGATGTGGGAGGGATCTGTGAGGGGTGCTGCCATCTCTTGACTTTTTCAGCTTCCTAGATGCCTTTGAAGGCTGCAGACAGTGGTGGCCCATTTCCACAGCAAAATATAAACCAAGCACAACCCTGTGTTTAGGCCGCTCCTAACCCACTGAGCTAGTGCTGCTTTGTTTAGAATTAGAAATTTCTCAGCTGCTGGCCTCTATCTCCAGCTGTGTGTGTTTTTCTTTATACTGGAGTTTGGGAGTGCCTTTCTCAGGCAAGGGTGCAGTGCTTTGAGGGCTTCTGCTGTGTATCGTAAACAGCCAGTTCTATGTAGGGGCAGCCTGTCTGATTCCCACAGCTTCCGGCATCGAGTTGTTGATAGTTTATAACAGCACACAGACCATAATGTTCACCCTTTCGAGTTTACTGTTCCGTGGAAGATTCACAAGCATTGCCACTATTTCATTCCAGACCATTCTCACCCCCAAAATAAACCTGTACCCTTTAGCAGTCACTCCCACTCCCTACCCCCAGCCCCTGGCATCCATCAGTCTACTTTGTTTCTGTGGATTTGCCTGTTCTGGATATTTCATATAAATGGAGTCATGCAGTGTGTGACCTTTTGTGATTGTCTTTGTCTCAGCATGAATTCTGGGTTCAGCCATGTGTTAGTGTATGTCTGTAGGTCTTTCATTTCTTTTATGGTCGAATACTATTTCATTGTATGGAATTATCACATTTTGTTTATTTACCGGTCAGTGATGAAGACTTGGTTGTTTCCATCATTTTTTTTTTTTTTTTTTTTTTTGAGTCAGAGTCTCACTCTATTGCCCAGACTGAAGTGTAGTGGCACAGTCATCGGTCACCGCAGCCTTGACCTTCTGGGCTCAGGCTATCTTCAGACCTCAGCCTCACTAGTAGCTGGCACTATAGGTGCGTGCCACCGTGCCTGGCTAATAATATTTTTGAGATTTTTTTTGTAGAGACGAGGTCTTGCTATGTTGCTCAGGCTGATCTTGAACTCCTGATCTCAAGTGAGCCTCCTGCCTCATCCTCCCAAAGTGCTGGCGTTAAAGGTGTTAGCCACCATGCCAGAACTATTTCCATTTTTAGACTATTATGCATAATGCTACTGTGAACATTTTTGGACATCTAGTATTATCATTTAAACTGGTTTTTGGCCGGGCACGGTAGTTCACGACTGTAATTCCAACACTTTGGGAGGCAGAGGTGAGAGGCTTGCCTGAGCCTAGGAGTTTGAGACCAGTCTGGGCAACTTGGTGAGACCTCGTCTCTAACATGAATGAATGAATGAATGAATGAATGAATAAGCTGGGCAGAAGGATCGCCTAAGCCCAGCAGACTGAGGCTGTGGTGGCCATGAACATGCCACTGCACTCCAGCCTGAGTGACAGAGTGAGACTCTGACTCAAAAAAATAAATAAATAAATAAAAGGTTTTGACTGGGCATGGTACTTTGGGAGGCTGAGGCAGGAGGATTGCTTGAGCCCAGGAGTTTGAGGCCAGCCTCAGCAACCTAGTGAGACCTCGTCTCTGCAAAAATAAAAAAATTTAGCCGAGCATGTTGGCACATGCCTGTAGTCCCAGCTACTTGTGAGACTGTCAGGAAGATGGCCTGAGCCCGGAAGGTCAAGGCTGTGATGAGTCATGATTGTGCCACTACACTCCAGCCTGGGCGACAGAGTGAGACCCTGACTCAAAAAAAAAGGGTTTTGGTTAATTTAGAAGATGGGAAATCGCACCTCATGTTGTTTGATTTTGAAGTTGTGTACGCATAAGGCTGAGCTGTCTGACAAGTGCTCCATTCTCCAAACAGTCTGTTAATGGCCTGAGCTGGTGTTGCTATGGAGGCCAGGTGCGTCCTTACTGATTTGGGTTGGGTTGTGTGCCCAGCACATCTGGGTCTGGGGACCCATAGCAGGGGACACCAGGGTTGCTTGGGGAAGTGGCAATGCATGCCAGAGGGACGGGCCCGAGTCCAAAGGGCAAAGCCTTGGGGGCCGGGCCTGCTCCCTGAGTTCCATTTGGCTGCAGCTTCTGGAGGGAGCCGGAGGAGACCTGGGGCAGCCATGCTCATGTCTCGGCGAGGCTTAGCCCTGAATGTCCTCAGAAAGGGAGTCAATGAGGCCTGTCTCTGGGAGAAGGCCAAGCAGTAAGTTGGGAGTTGAGGGGAGCTATGGGGTTTGTTGGGTTTGGGGAGACCTGGTCTTGTGTGCTGGGGTGGGAGGAGCTGTGGCTTCGGGACATTTGGCCCTGGGATGCTCCATTCGGGACAGAGTGCCCAGGTGGGCAGCCAGGAAGCAGGGACCTTGGCAGGCTGCGGGGGCGGGGAGGCTCTGAAACAAATGGCCCTAGTTTAGCTGCTGGCTCTGGCCAGACTCAACTCCTGACTTTTCCAGGGGGATGTTTTGGCTGTGGCCGGTAGGGGTCCTGTAGACTCCTCCTGTGGGCTCCGAGGTATCACATGTCCCCAGGCTCAGTGCTGAAGGCAGCCAACCACTTCCCTCTCCTGCCAGGCAGGCCGACCAGGGTTCCAGTTGTGAAAGCACCAGCCTCTCTGTGGGACCCAGTACTCGTGGTGTACGTCAGTCTAGAATTCCTTCCCTCCTTTTGCATATAGGTGAGAGGATGTGCGGGCAGGCACTTGGACTTTTAGGCATAATCTACATTGGTTAGTTTTGTCAGAGGCCTCTCAAATCAGGAAGTCCTTCAGGACTGCCCTTCAGAATAAGCAGGCGCTGGGAGTGTAATAAGACCCTGTTGTTTGAGGGGAAAGGCCATCTGTGTAAGCCCACTCAGCTCTCTCTGCCCTACCTTTTCCTTTCACAACTTGCCCAGTGGCCCAGGATGACCTGCCCTTGAGGCCACAGGTGGAGTCATTTGTTCATCCCAATCACAGCTGTGCCTGCTTGAGTCTGCTCTGTGTACCTTGCACTCTTGGGGGACTTTTCCATTTCCATAGCTGGTTGCAGGATTCCTGGGAAAGTCCTGTACAGAGGTGGCATTTGCAAGGTTGGGGGTGGCATTGGGGCGAGGCTGGGGTGGCATTGAGGCAATGTCGGGGGTGGCATTGGGGCGAGGCTGGGGGTGGCACTGGGACAAGGTCATGCTGATGACATATCGGGCTTCCTGTCCCAGGACCCCAGCCATTGCACCTGCACCTGGGCCACTGTGACTGTCTGACTTCTTTCCTCCTCACACCCAGGGGAAGGGGAGGTGGAGTGAAGAAGCGAGGAGGGCAGGCTGGGGGGCTCTCAGGGGCTCTTAGGTGTCAGCTGCAGGGTGGAGGAAGGGCTGTGGAACTGCGGAACCTGAGACAACGTGACAGCCTCTGAAGCCAGCCCTTGGGGGGTTCATGCGGTGGGGGTGGGGCCAGAGCCAAAGGAGGGCAGAGGCTGATCACTGCCCACTCCCTTCCTGTGAAGCCCCTAGGCACTCAGGGGGAGTGTTCTTTGGGACAGGCTTAGATCTGGTGGGGGCTCCCTGGCCTGTGACCCTCTTCCCCTGCCTGCATCTCAGGGGCCAGGCTGGGCCCTGGCTTTGGCCGAGACCCCAGAGAAGGACTAGGGGAGGGGGGCGGGTGTGTGTAGAGCCTCCCAGACGTCTTCCAGAGGCTGCTCAGTGGTGGTACCTCTGCCTTCCTGATCTGGCACCGCAGCCGGAAGGGCTCGCAGAATTACTTCTAGTGTAATTATTTATAAAGTGGGGTTTCTATGACGACTGGCTTTTGGTAGACGCCTCAGATTGGCGAGACAGCCTCTTCCTGGCTAGATTGGGCAGCCCAGGAAACCAGAGGGGTGCTCCCCCACAAGCCCGGCATGGTGGGGAGCTGGGATGGTCCTGGGACAGGCAGTGACCCTGTGACGCTGGCTCCTCTCGCCTCACTCTGGACCTGATCCTGGGACGTCCTGGCCGCCATGGCTGCCCAGCTGAGCAGGTACCGTGGGTCACAGCCCTGTCCAGGCTGTGTGGGGGCCGCTTTGGACAGACTGTCTGGGGACACTTGGAGGAGAGGGGAGGTGGGGGGTGTGGCCCTTGTGCCCAGCAGGCCGGCTGGCTTCCTGCAGCCAGGAAGATCAGCAGGGACACCCGCCCCAGTTCTTGCTGACCCTGGACGTTGGGTGGTGAACCGAAGCCAGGACTGGAAGTACAGCCCTGGCAACCTGGGGCTCCCGGCAGGGACAGAGCCCTTGAGGCCCAGCTGCTGTTCTTCCTGGCTTTGCGCCTGCTGCTCACCCTTTCTCCTGCCAGCGGGTCTTCTCTGGTTTGCCAAGCACTGCTGAGCCCCCTACCTGCCTCTGCCCAGGGAGGTCCAGGCTACACAGGGACCTCCTTCTGGCTCATTCCCTGCCCCGGGCTAAAGTGTGGAGCTGGGAGCTCAGGGGGGACTATTGGCCCCTTCCCATCCCACTCTGGGGCCTGGGAGGGACCCTGAAACTTCTTTTGGGCCCAGCCCTTCTCCTGCCCCGCCCTCTTCTGGGGGATTTAGTAGACTCTGCGGAGGTTGAAGGAACTTTGCCAGAAACTTGGTAGGCAGCAAATTGAAGAGGACAAGCAGTACATCTGGGCTTCTGTCGGGCAGAGTTCCTCCTAGAAAGATGAGGTGTTCGGTGGCTCAGCCTGTAATCCCGCGCCTTTGGGAGGCTGAGGTGAGTGGATTGCCTGAGCCCGCGGGTTCGAGACCCACCTGGGCAACTTGGTGAGACCTCATCTCTACAATAAATCAAAAAATTAGCCAGGTGTGGTAGCGCGTGCCTGTAGTTCCAGCTTCTCGGAAGGGCTGAGGCAGAAGGATCGCCGGAGCCCAGCAGGTCGAGGCTGCGGTGGCCGGGAGCGGCCACTGCACTCCAGTCTGGGCGACAGAGTGAGACTCCAACTCAAAAAAATAAAATAAAATAGAAAGATGAGGTTTTTGCCTGTGCCTGAGCCTGGCCTTTGAGGCCCTTGGTGGGTCATGTGCCACCTTCTCCCTGGAGGCTGCCTGGTATGAGGCCCCAGGCCATGGCGAGCCCACTTCTCTCCCTACAGGAATGGCAGCCACTGCCCCTTGGATACTTTCAGCCAAGGCACCTACTTCCCAAGGGAAACTTTGAGTGATTATAGGCTCCAAGTACCAGCTGCAGCCATGTGGGGGCGGGATGGTCTGTCCAAACATCTCTGTTCCACCTGTCTTCCTGGCTGCGGTGAGATTGGAGCATACACACCCGGGGCTTGGCCTCTGGTTTGAGGCCAAGGGAGAGGCCCAGGGAGCTTCCGGCACGATCCGTGAGGTGGCCTGATTGCTGGCTGGCCCCTGCCCCACCTGGACCATAACCGCAGGCCCTGTGGTTCTGCCCATCTTTGGGTGCAGGCGGCACCCTCCAGAGCACTGTACCTGCCATGTAAACTAGGCTATGCCCAGTGCTGCCACCTTCTTCAAATGGTCACTGCAGCTTTCACTGTTGGGGCAAAAAGGCCCACCCCCCACCTCTGGCTACCATGGGTTTCACGCAGTTAAGTTTTAATTTTAGCACTGACATTTTTGTGTCAGAGTCAGAGATACTGGCCGCACTCCCAGCTGGCCGCCTTCTGGGCTGGAAGGGGCGGAGGGGGTCACACCCTGGGGCTGCTGCCAGGGTCGCTGCACAGGGGCGTGGCCTGGGCTGGCCAGGCATGGGTGGCAAGAGCCGAGCCCAGCATAGGAGCCTAGCTGCCAGCCCTGCAGGGCCCACTGTGCCCCCACTGCTGCCCTCTGTGGGTGAGGCAGGGGCCTGCAGTTTCCTGGGGCTGCCGTGACAAATGACCATAAACCAGGTGGCTTGTAAAGACAGGAATTTATTCTCTCACAGTCTAGAGACCGGAAGCCCGAGACCCAGGTGTCAGCAGGACCACCCTCCCTTGGGTTTTAGGGGAGATCCTGCCTTGTGTCTTCCAGCTTCTAGTAGCTTCTGGCAATCCTTAGCATTCTTTGGCTTGTGGCTGCGGCATCACTCCAGCCTCTGTCTCCATCTTCATATGGCCTTTTCCCGCATGTTTCATGTCAATTTCCCTGTTCTTATAATGACATAAGTTGTAGATCCTATTTCTAAAGTCACATCCATCCACAGGTACTGTGGTGAGGACTAAGACATACCTTTTGGGGGACACAGTTTATCCCAGTACACAGGCTCCGTGTGGGGGGCTCCACCTTGGGGGAACCCCAGGGAGAGGAGATGCAGCCCACCCTCAGGGTGTCTGCTGTGATCTTGGAATAGGAGCGACCCCTCCCAGCCTATCAGGCCCTCCTTGTTCCATTGCTGCTCTTTCTACTCCCAGAAAGGCCTTCCTGCCTCACCTCTGCCACTCCAGAAGAGACACGGGCCATCCTGCAGGGTGGGTAGACTGGGATGAGGGCTGGCCGATCTGCTGGTGTGATGAGATTATGGAAAGCCATGAGTTTTGAGCTGTGCCTTGAAGAATTTTTATTTTTCTTATTTTTTAGGGACAGAGTCTTGCTCTTTTGCCCAGGCTGGTGTTTAGTGGCATGATCATAGCTCATTGTAGCCTCACACTCCTGTGCTCAAGCGATCCTCCCACCTCAGCCTCCTGAGTAGCTGAGACTACAGGCACACTGCCATGCCTAGCTAATTTTTAAATATTTAGTAGAGATGGGTCTCATTATGTTCCTAGGTTGGTCTCAAATTCCGTGGCTCCATTGATCCTCCTACTGTGGTCTCCCAAAGTGCTGTGGATTACAGGCATGAGCCACTACATCCGGATACTTGAAGAATTTTTAAAGACCACTGATTAATTTGAACAGGTTGAGATGATTTAAAATTCAAAAGGCACAGTGGTGCATCCTCTGAGCCCCTCCCAGTAGCTTTTCTCTTCCCAAGGACTATGGAAATTTCTGGGTTCCTGCACTTCTTCCTAGGGATGGTGATCATGTGCTCCCAAGTGACTGCCTTGTCCCCATGGTTCTGAGCATGCAGTGTCTCTGGGAACGTCCCTACTAGTTCAAGGCTGAGTGACAGTCTGTTGTATGACTGTCACTTAATTTCACTGTCCCTTACTCTGGCCATCTGGGAGCTGGCCCGTGTTCTACATTGTACACAGCTGTTGCACATACCTGATTTATTCACGTGTGGAAATATTTGTAGGCTATGTTCCTGTGGGTGGTGTTGCCAGGTCAGGGTATCCCCATGCTTTGTGGATGTTGATGGTAATGCCAGGTGCTTTTGAGTTATGCTCCCCCATGGGTAGATGATCCCTTTTTCACAAAGGATGGGTCTGACATTGCTGGGACAGGTGGGCACAGGCAGGGCAGTGGGAAGAAGGCCCAGGCATACCTGGTGAACAGCAGCCGTTTGGCAGGTGTGCCCCGGAGCCCTGCAGCACAGTGGGTGATAAAGAGAGGAACGCTCCGGATCCCCTGGCGCTCCAGATGCCTTTCTGGGAGTTGAGTCTTTATTTGGTAGATAGGAAGGCTCTGGAGGGTCTGGACAGGGAAATGACTTGGCCAGGTTCCTGCTTAGGAAGAGCAATCTTGGGGTGGGGGTTGAGGGGTGAGTTAGGACCTGTGTGAGATGAGTGTAGAAGCCATGGGAGGTGAGAGGCAAGTGTAGAAGCCTGCTCCGCACCCCCATGCTGGGGAATCTTCCTGAACATTGCTGTGGTTGTGTGACGCCCTGCTTGGCATCCCAGCCTTTCCTTCCTTCCATCTGTGTCTCTGTTCTCCAGGCTGTCCCTTCACCCCCATGGGCCATGCACTAGCTTTATGGTTTTGCTTTCTGTACCCCGAGCCCTCTGTGGGTTCCTGGCCTGCACCCCCAGCCCCCAGATGTACCTTGTCCCGGCACATGTCCTGCCCCTGCTCCTGGCTCATTCTCCAGATTTGGCCAAGGTGTCACTTCCTCTGGAAGTTTTTCCAGAGTCCGTGTGGGGTGGCCGCCCATCTGGGAGTGACTCCTGTACCTGTGTTTGTTCAGCTTCCTAAGAACCCTTGCCATCAGCCTGGTGCCTGCTCCAGAGGGAACTCTGCACAGAGCGGGGGTGGTGACCGCTTTGGTAGCCTCAGGCCCAGAACCGGCTGCTCTTTCTGTGAGGATTGGACAGATGTGGTTCTGATCTGGGACGGGAGCAGCCAGGGCCGTGGGGGACGGTGACATTCCAGACCGCAGGGTCACCAGGCCCTGGCCATTGCTTGACTACCAGTGCAGGGCGAGTGGAGGATGGGGAGGGTGCTTGGGGCCAGGCCTGGTGAGGGCGGGCAGCTGGGCAGAAAGGCCCTCCCCAGGTCTGGCCTTGTGCCTTTCCCTGGCAATTCTGGGGCCAGGGGAGGGGGAAGAAGTATAGGATTGGTGTGGCAGGGGTGGAGAGAGGTGGCCAACAGTCCACCCAGCACCAGGGCAGGCGGGTGCTGCCCGCCTGAGCTGGTCTGTGTGGTGTTCAGCTGGGCACTGCTGGTCAGCTGTCGCCCAGATACCACAGTAAGCCCTGGTTCTCCAGCTTCTCTTGAAATTCACTTTGGCACCCTGGACTCCAATTCCTGCCAACCACAGTGAGCTAGCAGCATAGGCCACCACCCCGCCCTGCACGCATGTCTGTGTCCCCGGCCACTGCCTCTGTTGCCGCTTCAGCCTCATGCTTGCCCTGCAGGGATTTCTTTTCTTTCTACTTTAATAGTAAAAAAAAAAAAATGCCCACATGTTTATTAAAAATGGGAAAACCAAAGCTCCAGCGAGGGGCAGTGTGTCCTGCTGGCCCCTGGGCTCCTTTCATACCCGCCTGCCTGGAGTTGAAGGCTGGTCTCCACCTTAGCCTGGGATGGACACCCTTGGCTTTGGCCAGGCTGTGGGGGAGCAGCATTGGAAAGTGAGTTGAGGAGGGAGGCGCCCGGTGAGACTAGTTGCTGGAGCAGCAGTGCGGGGTGCAGGCGGGCTGCAGGTTGGGGCAGAATCCAAGCTGAGACCTGAGATGCCATTGGCTGTAGGGAAGGCATCTGATTTGGGGACTGAAGGGAAGGGGCCAGTGGTCAGGCTTTAGCCTCACGCATTGGAGGTGACAGTAGAGTCTTCAGGCAGAAATAGGTCCTCTGGGGAGGAGGTTTGTGTCCAGACTGAGAGTGCTGGGTGGCCAGTTGGGGAGTTAGGACCGAACTTGGTACAGGATGCAGCATGTAGAGGGAAGGTGACCCGGCTGGGGGTGGCAGTATGCAGGCTGGGGTTCCTGGCATTCACTCCCACCGGGCGTGCCACATGCCCGGGCCTCACTTGGGTGTGGGTGGCTGCAGACTGCCCCGGCCTTAGGCGCCACCCCTGGCCTCCAGCTCAGGGGCCACCCACGTTCCGTTCCTGCTCAGCACCTACCGGATGTATGCACTTCCTCCTCTGCCCGCAGCCCTCGGTCTGTGCTTCCTCTCTCTGACTTGGCAGCAACGCTGGAGCAAGTTGGTGTGTATGGCCCCACTTAGTAGACAGGCAAAGTGAGGCTCATGGCGGTGAGTCAGGCTGCACCAGAGGCAGGCTCCAGTGTTCCTAGGAAAGGCTGGACCCCTGTTTCCTCAGCCCCAGAACCCAGGGCTAGGTCCTGCTCGCCTGTCCCACCACAGCCTCAACCTGTGGTCACAAGAGGACAGGCCTGCTAGGGGACAGGCCCGTGGGGTGTGGGGAAGGCTCCTCCTCCTAAGGTGAGAACAAATGCAAAGGAGGGCAGTGGAGACAGTCGTTTTGTGATTCATAATTGACTACCTCTTGGCGCAAGCTTAAAAAAAATGCAAAACCCTTAGCTCAATTAAAAAACAAAACACAGCCAGCTCGGTGGCTCAGCCTGTAATCCCGGGCCTTTGGGAGGCTGAGGTGAGTGGATTGTCTGAGTCCACGGGTTCAAGACCTTCCTGGGCAGTGAGACCTCATCTCTACAATAAATCAAAAAATCAGCCGGGTGTGGTAGCGCATGCCTGTAATTCCGGCTACTTGGAAGGCTGAGGTGGAAGGATCGCCGGAGCCCAGCAGGTTGAGGCTGCAGTGGCCGGGAGCGGCCACTGTACTCCAGTCTGGGCGACAGAGTGAGACTCCAACTCAAAAAACAAAACAAAACAAAACACAAAGATTGTTTAAAGAGCACATTAGAGAAGGCAAATTAAGCTTCTCTCATGCCCTGGGGTTTCCCTGCCACTTCACCTATCACGTTGTGCCAGCTGATTCACTGTCACTGTGGCTGTGCTGTTCTGAGCTCCATGGGCCTCAGGGCCCTCCTGACTCCAGGGCCAGCAGCCAGTTGGCCTGAGTGGGCCCTGGTTCTCAAAGTGGTTCTCACCCAAAGTGCGGGGTCAGGGGGACATTAGGGATAGGCAGCTGTCAGTCCTGGAGGACATCAGTGGTCTTTGGCTCTGGAAAATGGCATCTTCCAGCTCTTTCTTGAACCTTCCAACCAGGTTGGGTAAATACTTATTACAGGCCAAGAACAGTGGCTCATACCTGAAATCCCAGCACTTTGGGAGGCTGAGGCAGGAGGATTGCTTGAGCCCAGGAATTCGAGACCAGCCTGGGCAACATAGTGAGACCTCATCTCTACAAAAAAAATTTAAAAATTAGCCAAGTTTGGTGGCACGTGCCTGCGGTCCCAGCTACTTGGGAGGCTGAGATGAGGGGATCACTTGAGTCTGGGAGGTCAAGGCTGCAGTGAGCCGGGGTCGTGCCACTGCAGTCCAGCCTGGGTGACAGAGTGAGATCCTGTCTAAAACCCAAACCAAAAACAAACCAAAATTTATGACAGAAGAGAGAAAAATACAGCTGGCCACCATTTGTGGCGCCTCTCCTGTGTGCTGGGCGCTGTCGCAGAGCACAGATGTGATCAGCATAACCTCCCACTGTTAGATGAGGCGGTGCTACCCTTGTGCCCATTTTACAGATGAGGAAGTGGAGGGCTGGCGTTTTGGCGGCTTGTGCAGGTTACACAGTTTGTAAAAGCCAGAGCCCAGAATGCTCTTGGAGAGTCAGCTCGCTCCCTCTGAGTAGCAGGGCAGCACCGGTCCCGGGCCCATAGCTGGCCAGCAGGATGTGGCAGGCCAGCTAGCCATGGCAGATGCTGGAGTCACAGGCTTGTGTCTGTTGCCCGTCGTCTGTCCCAGGCTGCGGCCTGTGAAGGCAGATTTCATCAGCCAACCAACTGTCTGGGAAGGTGCCAGGCTCGGCTGGGGTGGCCCTGGCAGGATCACCAACTGACTTGCTGGGATTCCAGAGGTTTTCTGGAGCTTCCCTGCTGCAGGCTGCCACTGGAAGGGTGGGTTTTCCCTCTTTGGGGAAGTGAGGTTGTAATTCGTTCTCCCTGACCTCTGACAGCCCCCAGCTTTCAGAGCAAAGTCTAGTCAACACCCCCGGGAGCCCCTGGGGCGCTCCCCATGCCAGCTGGCAGTTGAAGATCATTCACCTGCCCATAGGGCCTAGGGTCTTGAAGCTGTGACTTGAACAGCTATGGCTACCTGGCTCCTCTGAGGCTCCTGATAAGGGGTGTGGTCCTGAGAATTTGCTTCCAGGACACAGTCTGTCCTTCTGTTCCTCTAGTTCAGTTGTTGGGAGCTCCAGACTGCCACCTCCTGCCTCGTGGCTTTGCCAGAGGTCTTGGCCTCAGTGCTTCCCAGCTAGGGCAGGCTGGGACCTGGGGCTTCACGGGGTAAAGTCCCTCCTCTCTCCCAGGTAAGCAGGACCCTGGGGCCCCTTCTGTGGTCTGGCACGTTGCCACTCCACTCTAATAAATGTACCATCCTGGAAGAGCCCAAACATGTGGACATTTCTTTCTTCCTCTGGAAGCCATCGAGCCCCTTGGGGACCTCCTTTCTCCCCTGGGTTGTCACCATGGCATGAATTGTGTCTCCTGCAGGCCTCACCATGCTTGTCTTTTCCCCTTTGACCTAGGATCATGCGACCCGATGATGCCAACGTGGCCGGCAATGTCCACGGGGGAACCATCCTGAAAATGATCGAGGAGGCGGGTGCCATTATCAGCACCCGGCACTGCAACAGCCAGAACGGGGTAGGCATCTGGGGGCCCCTCGCCTGACGGGCCTGGGCTCATACAGAGGGTTCCAGACCCCAGAGGGCCACGTCAGTGTTGGTTCAGAAAAGGCGTGACTGCCCTGGAGCCCATGCCTGGAATCTCTCCCTTCTCATTGGGTCTTGGGGGCTTCCAGAGATGCTGGCCCAGTCAGCCCTGGACGGGATCCCTCAGAACTAGGTTTGGTTTGAGCCTTGGCCAGGAAGGGTGAAAACCTACCAGAGACAGACACCCCCCGCTCTCTCCTCCGTTCGGCCCCCTGAGCTTGATTCTGATCAGAAGCATGCCACGCCTTTGTACTGCAGAGTTCATTGTGATGGTCAAGAGCCCAGATGTGGGGGTTGGCAGCCCTGAGCTGGATCCCATCTGCCCTGACCACCTGTTGTAGCCGTGACAGGCACTGTGACTCTCTGTGCCAAGGCTGCTTTCTGGCTGTGAAGCCCACAGGCTGGGTATGACCGTGTCTACAATGGGGCCGACTCCCTGCCTGCCTGCCCCAGAGCTGTGTAGTCGGGGTGCGGGGGGGGGAGGCCCTGCAGTCAGGGGTGAGAGGCTTGCTCTCTGGTCTCAGGATCTCAGGGCTGTTGCAAGATATTCAGCATGTCACTTCCTGCCATCCCCAGCCCCACAGGACCAGACATTTGCTCTGAAGGCTGGCCAGGGAGAGTGAGTCCCCTTGGGGACTGGGGGCTTGGTCAGCACACCCACTGTGTCCTCTGGGCAGAGGAGGAGGATTCAACCTTGGCTTGGAGGGACCGTGTGGCCCCCGTGGACACAGACATGATGCTGCTCTGTGTGGAGGCTGAGGGGCTGTGAGGTCAGAGACCAGGACTACAGGAGGCACCAGTAATTGTGACTGGGCCAAGCTGGCAAGATGCAGGAAGTGACCTGCAACATCGGTCTGTCCCAGCTGCTTTAACAAAATACCAGCTGGGCTCGGTGGCTCAGCCTGTATCCCCGCGCTTTGGGAGGCTGAGGTGAGTGGATTGCCTGAGCCCGTGGGTTCGAGACCCGCGCCAGGGCAACTTGGCGAGACCTCATCTCTACAATAAATCAAAAATTAGCTGGGCATGGTAGCACGGGCCTGTCGTTCCAACTACTTGGAAGGCTGAGATGACAGGATTACCTGAGCCCAGCAGGTCGAGGCTGCGGTGGCTGTGAGTGTGCCACTGCACTCCAGCCTGGGCGACAGAGTGAGACTCCAACTCAAAAAAAAAAACCAAAAAAAAAACAAACAAACAAACCAAAATACCACAGACTGGGTGACTTGTAAACAACAGAAATTTGTTTCTCACAGTCCCGGAAGCTGGCAGTCCAGGATCAAGCAACCAGTAGATGTCATATCTGGCAAGGGACTGTTTCCTGGTTCATAGACAGTGCCTTTTTGCTGTGTCATCACCTGGCAGAAGGGGTTCTTTTGGGCCTCTTTATAAGGACACGGATCTCATTTGTGAGGGCTCCACCCCCATGGCTTAATCTCCCAAAGGCCCCACCTCCTATTACCCTCCCCTGGGAGTTAGGATTTCAACAGGTAAATTTTAGGGGGACACAAACATTCAGACGGTGGCACATGCATTCAACCTGGAACAGTGGGCAGCATGTCTTCCAGCAAAGTGTAAGACTATGGGTGTGTGTGTGTGTGTGGTGAACCATGCCAGGGTGAGTGTGTATGGGTGGACTTGGACTTCAGCATGGGGGTGGGCGGGAGAGGATGGGCTGAGACCACCTTGTGAAGGAGAGACTTGCCTGCCTGGCTGCGAGTTGGGTTTAGTCTGTGGACCTGGGCTGCCCTCGAAGCGCTGGTACAGCCCGGCCACGTTCGGAGAGCGCCCCCTGGTGGCAATGGGGAGGTCGGACCTGAACGCGAGATCCTGGGGATGGGGTGGAGCCAAGTTCCTGGCTGACCCTTCCAGAGGAAGACAGTGAGGGTCCCAGGCAGGCCTGGAAAAGAGGGTGGACACTGGGAAGGAAGAGGCCCCAGGACCAGGGTGACAATGCCATTAAGCATCACAGAAGTCATCACTGTGTTTTGCAGACTTTAAAGTGATTTAGCTCATAACTCTCATGACACCCCTAAGAGAGAAATGCTGTTATTTTTATTATCCAGATTGCATAGATGAAGAAACTGAGGCACGGACGTTGAGTACTTGCTTGAGGCCACCTGGGGAGGCAGGTCGGAGGTCTGGGCCATGAATCCAGTCCTCAAACCCGTGCTTGGAGCCCTTGCCCCTCCTCCTCCTGTCCCAGGGGTGCTGGAGGGACAGTTTTGACACTTTGGCTTCGAGCAGCCTCTGAGCTGGGGGTCTCCAGGCTAGTGCTCCAGACTTTCCAGGCTCAGGAGGGGCTCTGTGTGCGCCATGAGCCCAGGGTGTGAGTGACAGCTCTCCAGTTCCAGGTGGCAGGATGCTGACCTCCGAAGGACTTCGCTGGGATCCTGGTTGGGGCAAGTCCCCTTCCCCCAGTCCACACTCCCCTGGTGGTGTCATCAGTCTGTGGCTTTAATACAACAATGTCAGCCCCAGGGTTCTGGGCCTCTTGGCTGGCCCGTCCCGGATGCCTGCTCAGCCCGTCAACCTGGACATGCCCCAGCCATGTTCTGACGCCCCTGGCTGCTTCTCCCAGTCTATCCCCTGGTAAATGGTCTCTGCAGTCCCCAGGTGCTCAAGCCCAAAGCCTGGAGCCTCCATCCACCTCTCCCTCCCACACCTGTGACACTCCCGCAGCAGATCCTGCTACTCCACCTTCTGGGATGTCCAGCTGTGAGCACAGCCCCAGCCCCACCCAACTGCAGACTGAGCCCCGGTGCCGATTACCCTGATCATGGCAGCAGCCCCCTGCTGGTCCTGCCACCTCATCTGCTCTCCAGTAGTAGCCAGAGACCCTTCAGATGTGAAGCAGAGCACAGCACTTGCCAGCTTGGAGCGCTCCAGAGTTTGCTGTCTCCTGTCCCTGCCTCCTGGCTCTAGGCCCTTATCTCTTGAGTTTCTTCCTCAGTGCTCCCTCTGGCCACGTTGGCTTTCCTGTTGCTTCATGAACTTGCCAGGAGCATTCCTGTCTCTGAGACTTCGCACTGGCTCTTCCCTCAGATATCTGCAGGCCCCCCTCACCTCTTCCAATCTCTACCTAAGCACCGGAGGCCCGGCTCCCTGCTTGCTCCCAGCTGCTGCTCAGCTCCTGACTGGCTGTTTTGTTTTGTTTTGTTTTTTGAGCTGGAGTCTCACTCTGTTGCCCAAGCTGGAGGGCAGTGGCACGCTCACGGCCACTGTAGCCTAGACCTGGGATTAGGTGATCCTTCCGCTTCAGCCTTCCATGTAGCTGGAACTACAGGCATAGGGCACCACGCCCGGCTAATTTTTTTCATTTATTGTAGAGACGAGGTCTCGCCAAGTTGCCCAGGCTGGTCTCAAACCCCTGGGCTCCGGCGGTCTTCTCACCTCCCAAAGTGTTGGGATTACAGACGTGAACCTTTACACCCTGCCTGACTGGCTGTTCTTGTACTGATTTGTCTGGGTGGTCCTCTCCCCCTGGAGCGCACGCTCCATGAGGGCAGGGACTTCTGCCGGCCTGGTTTCCTCAGAAGCGCAGCCTCTGGTGGAGGCCTGGATGTGCCTTGTGGCCTCCTGTGAGATGTTGCTGAATGCTAGGAGCATGTATCTGGAGTTGTCCTGTGGCGTGTGCCCACTGAGAACTTCTCACGCCTGTCCCTCCTTGCTCTGTGTAACCTTTCCAGCCATCTGCTGAGAGAGGTGCCGTTTTCTTAATACTGTTTTACTGGTTTTACTGGTGAGGACACCAAGGCCTAGAAAAGTTATGTGGCCTAGAATGCCACTCAGCCACATCCTCTGAGCCAGCCACAGGGTGGCTGTGTGTGGGCGTAGGGGCAGGTGTGGCTCAGGTGATGAGAGTTAGCCTTCTCTGGGCCTTGCTGCATGCCAGACATAATTCTTCTTTTTTTTTTTTTTGAATTGGAGTCTCACTCTGTCGCCCAGACTGGAGTGCAGTGGCCGCTCCCGGCCACCGCAGCCTCAACCTGCCGGGCTCCGGCGATCCTTCCGCCTCAGCCTTCCGAGTAGCCGGAACTACAGGCGTGCGCTACCACACTCAGCTGATTTTTTGATTTATTGTAGAGATGAGGTCTTGCTGCCCAGGCGAGTCTCGAACCCGCGCGCTCAGGCAATCCACTCGCCTCAGCCTCCCAAAGGCGCGGGATTGCAGGCCGAGCCACCGAGCCCGGCTGACATAATTCTTCGTACATCACACTTGTGAACTCATCTAATCCCCTTGTCTGTGGAAGATAGACAGCTGGCCCCTCCTCTCCCAGGCATTTCATGAACATCGGGTTATCGCCGTACGTTGTCCCCTCAAATCTTTGCAGTGACCTGTTAGGACCATTCATTATCTGTGTTTACACAGAGACTGAGACAGAGAGGTTAGGTCACTGCCTAAGGTCACAGAACCAGTAAGTAGTAGAGTTGGAATTTGAACTCAGGGCCCAGAGCAGTTCTTTTGGGCTCTACTTCTAAAGCTGCTTCCCTGGCTTGAAGCTCTGTGGCCACCCAGGAGCCCAGTCTCCAGAGTTTTCCAGGGTACCTGTGTCCAATGGGCAGTGTGATGCCAGTTGCTTTTGGGAATGTGGCAGAGGGTACTTCCTGGGCAGTTGCTAATTAGAGCCCTCAAACTCCTTCTCAGGGTGGGGCACTCCTGGTCCTTAAGCCCTGGAAGCAAGAGTTTCAGAGGCACACGTAAGGTACCTGGAGCCAGGAACGCAGACGCCTGCAACTCAAGAGATCTTCATATGGAATGCAAGTGTCCGGTAGCCCACGTATTGAGTTTTCGGATCACACCGGCCTTTATGGAATGGCTGGAGCTAGTTCAGAGCCCTGCCAGGTCCTGGGAAACTTCCACCACAGTCAAGTCAGAGCCATCCTGGGTCTTGGCTCGTGCCATCTGCACCTGTTGTACATACAGAGCTGCCAGCCCAGCTGCCTCTCAAGGCTCCCTGCCTGCCAGCTAGAAACTCTCTCCCAGGGCCTCCTGATAATGAATGACACTGGGCTGAGACTCCCATGTGCTGTCTGGTAGACATTACATCTCTTCTTTAGTATTTTAAGCTGGTAGAGAAGCAAACTTAAAGTTCATTTGCAGCCTCTCAGCCTAGGAGTCCCCCGGGGTCCCCAGCCAGGCTTGGGTGTCGGTGCCGTGTGGAGAGGCTCCCAGATGGCTCTGTGTTAGGCGTCCCCAGGACTGTGGAGAGGAGCTCTCTCCTGCCTCGGGTCGTTCTATCACTGTTCCAGATTACAGAAAGGAACATAAATCCCCGTGCTAAAAGTTCACATGACCCTGAAAAGCATCTGAGTCTCCTGAGCGGCCCTGTCCTGCCCTGCGCCTGGCCCTGCTGACTTCTGTCCACGTCTCCATGCATCCTGGTGGCCCCAGGTCTGCCGCTCTTCCCTCTCCTGTGATGCTGACGCTCCCCCACCTGCTCCTGCTGACACCTGGGTGTTCAGGGTCATTGAAGTTGACCCCTCCCACACCCCCACGCAGTCTTCAGAGCACCCAGCACTGTGTGTGTTGCCTGGTCGGGGCCCCCACTGGCACCCGGGCCTCTCTGGCCTGCTCCCCCTGCACACCCAGCACTGAGAGTGCTGCCCGGTCCACGCCGCTGCAAGGGAGATGTCTCAAAAGGCTCAGGTTCATTTGAGGGTCAGCTGCGTGGAGATGGCCTCGGTCAGCAGGTCAGAAATGGGCTACAGGGCAGAGAGGTGGAAGGCAGTGCCACTGAAGCCATCAGTGTGTGGGTCTGAGATCACGCGGGCGAAGCCACCCATGATGTGACTTAACCACTCTCCAGTGAAACACATGTGACTGACATGTGCACTTTTCGGTCTCACCAACCGTGCTCGGAAAGTTCCAGTCGGCCCCTTAGTCTTTCTTGCCTGTCACCGAGCGAGCAGCCCTTGCCTTTCCCACTTTTGGCCAATAGGTGGTGCCATAGCCACATACGTTTGCTTGGGGATGACTGACTCCACACTGCTTTGTCTTGATTGTTGTGGGTGGGGCGGAAAGCCTCAGGCCACTTGTGCCAGCTTAGCTCTAGAAATTGTCCCTATCACCCTGGTGTCCTGCCCAGCCCCAGCGGCCTTGCTGAGACCCATCTCTGAGACGTTTATAGTCACAGATGCGGTCACAGAACCCCCTGCCTGCGTGCATGCGCGAGAGTCACCTGGGGGAAGGTGAAGGCCGAGGCTCAAAGGGGCAGGTGCTGGGTTTGGGACGGGCCTGGGAACTTGCATGCTTGGGTCCCCAGTGAGTCCTTGCGCAGGTGAGCGAGCTGCATGTTGATGCCCTGGACAGCAGGTGGCTGGGAAGACATACAGACACCAGAGCTTGAACTGACCGCCACCAACTTGCCGCATGACCTTGGGCAGCTTGCCTAAAAGTATCACCGCTTGGCAGAGGGTTCTTGGGAGGACCGCCTGGGCAGGCATTGCCGGAGCTGACCCAGGGCCTCACAGGCAGGCCCGTCCCTCACCTGCTCCCCACCTGGCCCCGGGTAGCCAGTGAGTGCTGCAATCTCACATGGCCTACGTCCTAAGGAAGGCAACTGTTCAGTAGAAAGTCACGACAGCGCTGAGTGCGCGTTTGGAAAGAGAAAACCCGTATTTCCTGTGGCTCAAACTCAAGACCATCTTTTGTGTATCTTAGCAAAGATGAGAAGTATGTTGACTCTGAGTGCTAGTGAGGGTACCAGAGGCCACGACAGTCACTGCTGTCCTTCTGAAATGTACTTTGGGAACATATATCAAGATATCTATCCCTGGGACTCAGGAAATAATCCCAAAGGCAGAAAATGATTTAAGCAAAAGGGTGTTCATCATAGCATTGTTTATAGAAAGAATCAGATAGAGTTGGCCCAAATTTCTAACAAAAAAAGACAATTCTATTCAATTTGGCTGGCCATTGAAAATAGTTTTGCAAAAAAAAAAATAAGTAAGGCATGGTGGCACACACCCTGTTGTCACAGCTACTTGGGAGACTGAGGCGAGAGGATCACTTGAGCCCAGGAGGTGTTGGCTACAATGAGCCACCGCATTCCAGTCTGGGGGACAGAGTGAGCCCCATCTCTAAAAATAATAGTAATAGCCGGGCTCCGGTGGCTCAGCCTGTAATCCCGCGCCTTTGGGAGGCTGAGGTGAGTGGATTGCCTGAGCCTGCGGGTTCGAGACCCGCCTGGGCAGCGAGACCTCATCTCTACAATAAATCAAAAAATCAGCCGGGTGTGGTAGCGCATGCCTGTAATTCCGGCTACTTGGAAGGCTGAGGCGGAAGGATCACCGGAGCCCAGCAGGTCGAGGCTGCGGTGGCCGGGAGCGGCCACTGCACTCCAGTCTGGGCGACAGAGTGAGACTCCAACTCACCAAAAAAAAAAAAAAAAAAAAAAAAAAAAAAAAATAATAGTAATTTTTCTTTTTGAGTTGGGGTCTTACTCTGTCCCCTGGGCTAGAGTGCAGTAGCATAATCACAGCTACCGCAGCCTCAACCTGTTAAGCTCAGGCGGTCTTTCTGCCTCAGCCTCCTAAGTAACTGTGACTAGAGGCATGTGTCACCACGCCTGACTAATTTTTTTGATTTATTATAGAGATGAGGTATTGCGAAGTTGCCCAGGCAGGTCTCGAAACCCTAGGCTCAGGCAATCCTATCACCTCTGCCTCCCAAAGTGCTGGGATTACAGGTGCCTGACTAATAATAATAATATTTTTTTTGCATTAGAGTGTCATGAAAAAGAAGTCATGTAAAAGGACAAGGAAGTCTTTCACCCACAGCTGTGGTTTTGTGTTCCTGTAAAATTCTTTAAAAAAAATTTTTTTTTGTATATTTCATTTTAAAGATGTGAGGTCTAATTCAGGATTAGGTATACAACTGGACATGGTACAGGTAAACTTTGGGCCTCCCTTTGGTCCCCACTTTGTCTGGTTTGAGATCAGCTACCCTTATTGATGTTGTGTTCCCCCCGACCCCCGTAAAATTCTTATGTTGAAATCCTACCCCAGATTCACTAGAGTTAGTTTGGGAGGTGATTAGGTCATGAGGTTGGAGCCCTCATAAATGGGATTAGTACCCTTATAAAAGAGGCCCGAGGGAGCTCCTTGGCCCCTCCCACCATAGGAGGACACATGAGAAGTGCTGTCTGTGAACCAGGAAGGGGCCCTCACCATCCATTGAATCTCCCAGTGCCTGGATCTTGGACTTCTGAATGATGAGATGCGCCTCCTGAATGGTGAGAAACAATGTCTGTGGCTGATAAGCTGCCCAGGCTGTGTTATTTCTTTACACCAGCCCAGTGGACTAAGACATGTACCTACACAGGATGATCTCCAAGGTAGATTTTTTTTTTCCAAGGTAGATTCAGAGAGAAAAGCAGCCTGTGACGCCGCCTGTTGCACATCCGCCATCTGGGAGCCCTACTATGCCAGTGTAGACATGGTACCCACACGTCTACACTGTAGATGCGTTAGTAACACTGACTGCGATGGGGCCCTGGGTGCCTGGGGACGAGATGATTAGAGACAGAGCGGGCACCGTGTGCCCTTTTGTTCCTTTAGAATTTTGAATCATGAGAATGAGTTGCCTATTTGAAGGATAACTAAGATTTAAATTTTAAAAAAAGCAATGATTGCAGGGTGCGTCACAACATGGGCGGATTAATCTTTCCCACCTTGAGGGAGAAATCAGAAGGTGAAAGTGTATTTTTAGCTTTTGCACAGCTATATAAGACTAGTACTGTGAAGCACAGAGCCAGGCAAACCACATGTGAACCAACAAAACCCCTGTTCTTAGGAGAAAAGCCTGGAAAGAAGGATCTCAAAATAGTCACCGTGGTTATCTTTGGAGGAGTGATGTTCCCACCTCTTTCTACTTTTCGGTATTTCTCAAATTTTTTGTAATGAGTATGTATACTTTTTTTTCACTTTATGATGCAATTAATGCATGTTTAGTGTAGAAAAATTAGAGAAAAGGAAAAAGCCGCTGGGGATCCCACCACTCAGAGGTCCCACCACTTCAGCAGCTGCTGTGGTGTGGTCCCTCTGGGCTTTCCACATGCCTGTGTTTCTGCACTTGGGAATGTGTAGTGTCAACACCTTGCGTACCTTCACAGTGGGGACAAAAAGAGAGGCAGTTTCTGGGAGCATCTCCAGGTGGGTGCGGGGCTGGGCGGGCTGCCCCAGCTGACGGCTGTCCCTGGTCTCCACAGGAGCGCTGCGTGGCCGCCCTGGCCCGGGTCGAGCGCACTGACTTCCTGTCGCCCATGTGCATTGGTGAGGTGGCACACGTCAGCGCAGAGATCACCTACACCTCCAAGCACTCTGTGGAAGTGCAGGTCAACGTGATGTCCGAAAACATCCTCACAGGTGACTTCTGGGGGCTTATTGCCAGCTTGATTGGGACCAACAGGATGATAAATATAATAACTTTTTATTGTTAGTCACCCTTCCTGAGGGTGGCCAGTCTACTTTCTATGCACAACCTTCCTCTCTTCCCACCACCACCCTGTGAGCAGGCACTTGGTTACCCTCTTTTTTTTTTAAAGAGACAGAGTCTTGCTCTGTTACCCAGGCTGGAGTGCTGTGACACGATTACAGCTCACTGCATCCTTGATCTCTTGGGCTCAAGTGATCCTTCTGCCTCAGCCTCCCAAGTAGCCAGGGCAGCAGGCATGTGCTGCCATGCCCAGTTAGTTTTTTAATTTTTTGTAGAGATGGGGTTTTGCTATGTTGTCCAGGCTGGTCTCGAACTCCCGACCTCAAGCCATCCTCCCACCTTGGCCTCCCAAAGTGCTGGGATTACAGGCGTGAGCCACTGTACCTCGGCCCCCTCATTTTGCAGACAGGAAACAGGCACAGATGGGTTAAGCAACGAGCCCAAGTTCACACATCCAGAGCAGGACGCAAACCCTGGCTTTCCAGTTCTGGCCCTGAGTATGTATCCACTGCCCGTCCTGCCCTCCTGGGGTCGGCTCTTCCGTGGCAGGGGTAAGCGTGGCCTGGTGGGGCATAACCTGCCCTTCTCCCTTTCTGCGGTCTCTCTCTACACTCCTAGCCTTTCCTGAACAGGGGAGGTGTTGGCTCCACAGAGGCGGCTGCCCAATCTGGGGGACCCACCCAGGCCCTATCTGCTCCCCTGAGCCCCAGAAACCAGGCCTATGTAGAATCTCACTGGCGAACCTCTGCCTCTGATTGCATCTGAATGTTTTCTCCCTTAGCCGTGGTAACCATGGAAACCCCCTTCCCCTTCCCACTGGGCGCCGTGGGAGAGTGGCCCCGGTTCTCATGCACTCACGCTGCTTTTGTACCCAGCTGGTGACAGGGAAGGCAGGTTTCTTCATCTGCCCTCTGGCCTACTGGCTGCTACCTCCCCATCCCAGGTCACTGGTCCTCCCATGCAGAGGGAAGGCCAGTCCATTCACTCCCTCCTCTTCCCTACTATGCAGCGGCTGCCATGCAGAGGGCCAGCTCAGAACTATTTCAGGGGCTCCAGTTTTCTTCCTGCAACAGACCAGGAGCAAGCACAGTTACCCATCTGGAACATTCTGATGACCTCAGCAGGGTTGGTGATTAGAAAGGTTGTGTCAGCCCAGCTACAGCTTGGTGAACGGATTTAGCTGGGTGAGGGTTTGGGGTGGAGGGTGCTTCTGTTACCTGAGCCCCGGGCATGCCGGTGCCTCTGGCATCAGGGGGGGCCTTGGACGCTGAACTAGCCTGTGGTTAGGAAGGGGTACCTGGCTGCTCCCGCATCAAGAACGGTGACCCATGACTAGGGAAAGGCTCAGTGCAGGGCAGGGTTCCCCGTTAGGGCCTTGGGCATCCCTATCGTCCCCTGTGGGGGCACAGCCCTTCCTTTCCTGGCTGTGCTGGGTGGAACCTCCACCCTGTCCTAAGGAGGAGGGTTGGTCCACTGCTGTCCCCAGCTTCTCTGGGCCGTCACGCTTATGATAGCCATTTCCGCAGAATTTCCTTTCACTATGGGAGTAGTGGCCTCAGAAATGATGGGCTGGGGCCTGCTTTACAGAATCCCTGCCCCAGAAGCCTTCTTTCTGGTCCGCCAGAAGATACAGCCCGAGAGGAAGCCCCGATGCACAGTTTAGGAAGATGAGGAGAGAGGCAGGGAGACAGAAAGGGGTCCTCAGACTTTCAACATGGTTAGCCCCCTCTGTCCCCAGGGGAGGGAGCCATCAGCCCAAATGTCAGGAGGGCTGAGGGGGAGGAATGCCCCTGATCACCAACCTCTCTCTCCTGGCAGCTCCCATTGGCTCATAATAGATGCAGAATCAATAATGGATGAGTAAGTGAGTAAATGAATGAGTGAATGAATGGAGTTGGACTTTTTCGCTGAGAGGGAGGGAAAGCCGACAGGGTTTTGACAGAAAAGGTGATCCAGCGTATTCTTAAAGAGTTCTTGCACTTTAGGGTTAAGAGTGGAGGGAGGCAAGAGTCTCTTGCCTAGAGCCCATTTTGGGGAGAAGGTGAGAGGTGGCCCCCTGTCCACTTGAGGATGCCTCTCCACCCCCTGGACGATGGGCGGAGACAGACAGTGCCAGGCACTCTACCCTCCCCAGGACATCGGGACTGCTGCTGTTGCCCCATTGTGCAGATGAGGAAGTGGAGGCCTGGAATGTGTTAGCACACGGCAGCTTTTCACGGTGGGGCTGGGCCACAGCACTGGCTTCTCCCTCCCTCCCTCCCGACCTCAGCCTCTTTCCTGCATCACTGGCCGGGGCAGTGAGGCCTGGCCCCCCGAGGACTGAGGGCAGTGGCTTTTTGCCACCTCTTGGTCATCTTTCCCCAGAGCCCATGGCCGTTGGCTAGACGCCTGTTTCCCGCTCTGTGACTGCAGGTCTGTCTCAGGGTCTCTTTTTCTGCCCATGCGTGCCCTGGAAAGTGAGCCTACGAGGGCCCCAAAGCTAAAACGAGCGCCTGGCACGTGGTGGGCATGGCTGGACAGACACGTGACCTTTGATAAATGGGAGACTGGGCATGGGGGCAGAGGGTGCACGCCGGGGCTCTGGCCCAGATGGAGCTGAGTCAGGAATCTGTGTGTGTGATGGCCGTGTGCTTTCTGCATCCCGGGGGCAGGGGTCCCCTGTCCCGCGTGTCCCCATCTGTCTGGGCTGTGTTGCCTGTCACGAGGCAGCCGAGTGTGCGCAGGCCCAGGCAGACAACCCGCAAAGCCCTGCCTTTGAGGCGGCTCATTCGTCTCCAGCAACTGTCAAAATATTAAGCTAACTGGGACGTGATTGCTGTGAATTGCTCCAGAAAATAGCTGGGAGCTCTTAAGATTTTGAGAGAGATATTTTTAATGCTGCCGTTGTCTTTTGATGGTTTTATTAAGTGATGGAGAAAGTGCAATTAGCATGTTTGCCTCATCTGCTCCATGGTGTTCATTTAGGTCTAGAGGGCCACTTGGGTTTCCATGGAAACCGGCTTGTCAGGCTGACTCTGGCTGGGGCCAACAGGAAATCTTTATTCCCAAAAGCAGGTTGTCAGATTCACTCTCAGTCAAAGTGCGGTGGAAATATTTTCCCAAATCATTTGCCTGTGGTTCCCCAGCACAGAGCGCCTGTTGTCCTGATGGCGCCGTCGTATGAAGGAAGGGGGAGCATAGCCCCCAGCCCAGCCCCTTGGGCTTGACCTGGAGGCTGGGGCGGTGTTTATCCAGGAAAAGGCACTCTGTCCTGGGAAGGCAGGTTCAGGCGACTGGTGGGAAGAGAGCCCCTCCAGGGCTATGGGGAGGGCCCCTCCCCCTCCTTCCACCCTGCACGCCCTTCCCCAGTTCTGCTTTCTGTTATTTCCTGCAGTTTCACCATTCTACTCTATACTGAGAATCTTTTGTGATAAAGAGACTACTTTTTTTGTTGGGTTTTTAAGTTTGGAGTCGGGGTTTCACTCTGTTGCCTCGACTGGAGTGCAGTGGCATGATCACAGCTCACCAAGCCTTAAACTCCTGAGCTCAAGTGATCCTCCCGCCTCAGCCTCCAAGTAGCTGGGACTACAGATGTGCACTACCACGCCTGGCTGATTTTTTAATTTTTTTGTAGAGATGAGATATTGCTATGTTGCCCAGGCTGGTCTTGAACCCAGTCAAGAAGCCACTTTTTGAAGGTATCCTTGCAAATACTTCTAAAATGACTGAGATGTGGGAGAATGGCAAGGGACTGTGTGACCCTGGCTAAACCTCTTGGCTCTCTGGACTTCGGTCTCCTCCTGGACAAGTGAGGGTGTAGTGATCTCCAGGTCCTTTTTGTGCTATCATGCCATGATCCTGTGGTTCTCGGTCCAGATGGCCACTCTGTCTGGGCAGCTCCCCTTTGCTCTGTGGCTAGGCTGGGTGCCCTAAGGACTCAGCACCCCACATCCCATCTCTCAGTACCCGGAAGTTTCTAGACAGGCACAATGATTCAGCCGGCAGCAAATTCAAGTGTCTGATGTGAAGGAAAGTAAGTATCCTTGGGTAGTAAAGCAGGACTTTGGTGAGCTGACTCTCCTGCCCTGTGCTTTGGGTTGTGGGGGCCCTGCCATCTCTCCTCCCTGACCTGGGGTTGCCCTGCCTGGGTTTAGCCTCTGCTATGTGTGCTTGGGCCCAGCTTCTTTCTGGGCTTCCCCATCTGGCAGGAGTTCTGGCAGTGCTTAGGCAGGTGGATGGGATCTTCAGAAGACGATGCTTGTCTGAGCACCAGGACATCAAGTACCCCAGTGAGGCGTTTCGAGTTGACATTCAATGTCAGCAGCGATCAGTTGGTGAAGACTTGAGCCCATGAGTGAAGTGGGCTCAGCCTGCTCCCCCCAGCAGAGCAGCAGGGCTGTGCCTGGAGCGATTTGTCCTTCCCTTCTGTCTGGGAGGCTTATCAGAAGCTCCTGACGTGTTTTCATCACCAAGCTCCCTTTCTGTCAAAACCCCAGGAAGATGAGGTTGCCTGGGTCGATGCCTCCAGGCTGAGCCCCGTGTGAGGAGGCTGCCGAGCCCTGGACCACTGGGCTCAAACTACGTGGTCTGGGGTCTCTTCAGCAGCCTCTGGAAGGGGAGAACTGCCCAGAGCAGGCGTGTTGGGAGGGATAGGGGTCCTGGGCTCATGTCAGTTGTAAGGGACACGCCTTATGATGGGGTGGGCTCCACACAGCCTCTCTCCATGAGCTCAGGGGTCTCTCGTTTCGTTGTACATACTCACGTGGTGGTAGCAGCCCCAGGCCAGAAGGCTGGAAAAGGCCTTAGGGGTTGGGGCCAGAGGGGACAGTATGAGGTGGTGTCTTAGCTGCTGGGACCCAGTGCCAGTGGTAGCATCTGCTGGGTTCCTGGCCACTCACACCTGTACTCCCCTCATCCCTACCAATCCCAGGGTGTCACTCATGTAATTTTCTTCTCTTAAGGTGCCAAAAAACTGACCAATAAGGCCACCCTGTGGTACGTGCCCCTGTCGCTGAAGAACGTGGACAAGGTCCTCGAGGTGCCTCCTGTTGTGGTAAGGTGACCCTTCCACTTCTCTCTTGGGGGCAGATAGCAGAGGCCGGATCACCTCTGGTGGTGGTCTACTAGCAGCTGAGGGCCCAGGCCGGGCAGGGCCTCCCAGTCCTGCTTCTGAGGAAACGCCAGTGGGCAGGGAGCATCTCTGTGTAGGGTCTTGTTGAATCTGTGCTGGAAGTGTGAGTGTAAGCTGGCCCAGAACCCGCAGACATAGACATCCTTCATCCCGAGGACCTTTACATCACACTCCCTGACCAGAGGAAAGGTGGGTGACAGGAGCATGGTGGTGACAAGTCCTTCTGCCAGGAGCCAGGACCGCCAGGCCGCTCCCCCGAGGCCCGCGAGCTGATGCGGTAGATGTCATGACAATGCTTGTGTGAGCCTTTCCTCATCCTCCCTCCTTGTCCCTGCTGGCATCTGCCCCTCTTGGGTTTCTCTCCCTTTGGGTTTTGCTGTGGACAGAAGCCCCTTTGCATACCATGAGTTCATTGTGTTCATTCACAGGGTCCCGCTGGCCTGCGAGGGCTTCGTGCACTGACTCTAAGAGGGCACATGCTGGGGATGAAGGGGTTTGATTCATTCCCTGAAGGTGCTCCCTCACCGCCTCCTCCTGTGCTCCCGAGTCCGTTAGAGAGTCTGAAGACTGGTGTGACTGGCTCCTCCTGGAGCTTGACACTGCAGCCTAGGTCTTCCCTTCCAGGAAAGACACTCTGTAGAGGGAAACAGGATTCCGAGGCGCCAAAGTGTGGGCCCTGCAGGGAGCTTTTTTCCCTGCCTGAGATATATATAGAATACATATTTAGAAATAATAAAACCGAGAGCCAGATTGTTGGGGATTGGTGCCTGCTCTTTTTGCTTACAGACCCAACAGACACTGGGTGTTCCTGCTGTGGACAGCCCTGATCCCCTCCCTGGTGCTCGGTGGGTGCAGGACCCTTCCCCTCCTGTGAGAGGCCCTGCTCTTGTCTCACATCTGCTGCCATTCCTGTGCTTCTGGGTCACCAGGGCTGGTGGGGGCTCACTCCCTGCTGCCACTCAGATGTAAGCCTGTAGGGGTGCTCCCCGAGACCTGCTTCCTGTCCCCAGCTCTGTATCTGATCAGGTACCCTGCCTTGGCCCCCCAGAGGGCAATCAAGTCCCAGGTGGGGTTTTTCCCCTTGTGGGAGTGGCTGGCTGCAGGGTCTAGCTGCTCTCTGGTCTAGATTAAAAAAAAAAACCTTGGTGACTACGAACCCTCTCCACGTTTAATGAGAAGGGTGGGCTGGTGATTGCATCTTTCAATTTTGTGAGAGCAGGGAGGTAGCACCACCAGTGTCTGGTCAGTGCCAGTGGCATCTATCACTCCACGTGAGAGTGGGCAGGAGCTCAGGCCAGGGTGTGAGTCTGGCGGTCCCTCACTTCTTGTCAGTGCCACTGTGTGAGGCCACTGTGACAAAGTGCCACAGGCTGGGTGACTTTTTTTTTTTGAGTCAGAGTCCCACTCCGTCACCCAGACTGGAGGGCAGTGGCACGCTTCCAGCCACCACAGCCTCGACCTGCTGGGCTCCAGCAATCTTTCCACCTCAGCCTTCCAAGTAGCGGGAACTACAGGCTGGACATTTTTTAATTTATTGTAGAGATGAGGTCTCGCCGAGTTGCCTGGGCAGGTCTCGAACCCACGGGCTCAGGCAATCCACTCACCTCAGCCTTCCAAAGTGCTGAGATTACAGACTGAGTCACCGAGCCCGGGCAGGCTGGGTGACTTTCAAACAATAGAAGTTGATTCTTTCACAGTTCTGGAGGCCAGAAGTCCAAATCCAGGTGTGGGCAGGGTCGTGGGCCCTGTGGGGGCTCTAGGGAAGGATCCCTCCTGGCCTCTTCCAGGGTCTGTGACTACAGGTGTGACTTGGGTGTGGCTGCATCACTGCAGTCTCTGCCTCTGTCTTTACATGGGCTTCCTATAAGGACTTCCTATAACGATGTTCGTCATTGACTTTAGGGCCTATCCCACTCTGGTGTGACCTCATCTAACTAATTACTATGGATACCATGGTTTTGAAATGTTGACATGTTGAGGTTCCGGTGGACATATGTTTTGAAGGGACACTGTTCAGCCCAGCAATCATCCTCAGTTCAGCAGCCCCCCGACTCCCCTGCTCCCTCACTGTCTCTCATTGGAACTGGGGCCACTCTCCTCCCTCCCTGCTTCTTGGCTAAGATGGAATTGCAGTCACTTTTAAGCTTCAGTAACTGTGAGAGTTTTCAGACTCAAGAAGCAGGAGTAAGTCAGAGGCTCCATGACTGTTCTCTTTAGAAACTATGCATGGTCTACCATTTTGATTTTCGGTAGAGAATAGGTCTTGCCAAGTTGCCCAGGCTAGTCTCGAACTCAAGTGCTCAGGCAGTCCTCTCACCTCTGCCTCCCAAAGTGCTGAGATTGCAGGTATGAGCCACCATACCCGGCCTCCAGTGGCACATCTTTGAGTTGGGGTCTCATTCTGTCACCCAGGCTGGAGTGTAGTGGCATTCTCACGGCCACTGCAGCTTCTACCTACTGGGCTCAGATGATCCTTCCACCTCAGCCTTCCAAGAAGCTGGAACTACAGGCATGCGCTATCACGCCCGGCTAATTTTTGATTTATTGTAGAGATGAGGTCTCACCAGGTTGCCCAGGTTAGTCTCGAACCCCTGGACTCGGGCAATCCTCTCGCCTTGGCCTCCCAAAGTGCTGGGATTACGGGCTTGAGTTACCATGCCTGGCCTCCAGTGGCATGTCTCAAGTGGGTGATACTGGAGGAACGTTCCTGATCTGAACACAGCAGCTTTTGCTGCCTTTTGCTTGTCGGGGCCCAGAGCTGTGGCTTCAGACTCCATGGCTCCTATCCCCTTGTCTCTTGTCCCTGCTCTCCAGTAATTAGTGCTTTCCCGCCCACATCCCGAGGAGCCCCCAGTTGCCTTTAATTCCCTTTGTGCAGCAGGTTTGATGACATGTAAATATCCGCTTGGCCCTTGTGGGGAGTGTCGAACCCGTTCCGTCAAACCCAGGCAGCGGAGCCGCGGGTGGGCAAGGCTGCGCGGCGCCCACTGCAGCTGTTGCTAAGAATTACTGTGCTTTGTTTCCCATTCACGCCAGGCCCACGTAGGACAACCTTCTGCTGATGTGGAATGTAGGGCTGCTGTTTGCACTGGCAGGGCCCAGCAGAGGCCGGCTTAGAGGTCCTGGAATGCGCAGCTTCCTCCTCTGGCTCTGGCAGGCATTTCCACTCATCTGCTGGTGGCTTGACCCCATGGCTTCCTCACCTTCTACCAGCATTTTCCCGCTGACCTGTTCACAGGTAGCAATCACTTATTTTAGAAAATGCACATCTCTGGATCGATAGATGTGTAGATATATGTAATGTACACATACATATATACATACAGACATACACAAATAGAGATAGCACACCCCGTGTGCATACAGATAATCTGGAATACATGTGTGCACACACACATGTGCACACTCCAGTTTCCTGGATTTGTGCCTCTCTCTGGAGGACCCCAGCTGCTGACTGTGCCATGTCATTTAGTGCATGTCTTTGCTTCATCTTCCTTCCCAGCCTGGCAGAGGCACAGCTGTCTCAGTGAGCAGGGAAACTCAGTGGCCCTATGATGGAAAAGAGGCTGCCGTGGTGGCTGGATGGGCAGCTGCAGTACTGTAGAGCCTGCAGTGGCCATTGGAAGACAGCAGCTTTGGTTTTCTGCAAATGTCTAAGCATGTGCCTGAGTTAAGTGGCTCTCAGACAGCCATCTCAAGACGTTTGGACCATGCTGTCTGCTGCTTCAAGTCAGCTGGGTTTGATGAGCCCTCGCGGTGAGACTTAGGTGCCAGTCCATCATTAGAATGTTCCACTGGTTTTGTTCCCGGATTGAAAGGCAGCGTTAGGGAGGAGGCCAGACTTCTCTGTCCTCGTGGCTGGTATTCAGGACCCAGCCTGTCATCTCCCTGTGTGCCTGCAGAGCTCAGACACGTGTTGGACACCATGAGGATTTATTAGACCAGAACTGGCTCTTTAAAAAGCAAGCTGAAGTTCAGCCATCAATTTTCCTGGGTAGGCGCAGCACAAACCCTCCTCTTACAGTCATTACTTGGATGGTGGAACATTAGGACATGGTTAATTTATGGAGGAAAAGGTTGAATTATCCATTGCAACTTAAAATACTCCCCACGGTTTGTTTCTTTTGAACAAACCCCTCAGCTCCTTTCTCAGCCTCTTTTGAAGACGGATTCTCAAGCCTGAGATGATGGGTAATTAAGCCAAGAAAGAGTGTCCAGACCTCGAACGGTTTCGGAGCTGAGCCATGAGCAGGAAAATCAAGATGTTTAAAACTGACTTTTGAGCCGGGCTCGGTAATCCTGCGCTTTGGGAGGCTGAGGCAAGTAGATTGCCTGATCCGCGGGTTCGAGACCCACCTGGGCAACTTGGCGAGACCTCATTTCTACAATAAATCAAAAAATCAGCCAAGCATGGTAGCGCATGCCTGTAATTCCGGCTACTCGGAAGGCTGAGGCGGAAGGATCACCGGAGCCCAGCAGGTCGAGGCTGCAGTGGCTGGGAGCGGCCACTGCACTCCAGTCTGGGTGACAGAGTGAGACTCCAACTCAAAAAAAAAACAAAACCAAAAACTGGCTTTTTAAAGAAGGTCTAAAACATCTGCCTGCTCTCAGGTCTTTCCTGGGTGTGAAAAAAAAAATTTAAAAACAGCTGCCTGGGCTCGGTGACTCAGTCTGTAATCCCGTGCTTTGGGAGGCTAAGGTGAGTGGATTGCCTGAGCCCGCGGGTTCGAGACCCACCTGGTCACTTTGGCGAGACCTCATCTCTATAATAAATCAAAAATTAGCCAGGCGTGGTAGCGCACACCTGTAGTTCCAGCTACTTGGAAGGCTGAGCGGAAGGATCGCCGAAGCCCAGCAGGTCGAGGCTGCAGTGTCCGGGAGCGGCCACTGCACTCCAGTCTGGGTGACAGTGAGACTCCAACTCAAAAAAAACACCAGCTGCCTGAATTGAATTTCCTTAGGTCAGAGGGGTTCAGTGGTGAGCTGAGAGGAGCCCAGTGGGGCCTTGAGTTCTGTGGCTTCCCCGAAGGCTCAGCTGGAAATGTGGATGAATGAATGAAAGAACAGAAGTTGATGCTGATCTGGAGAACAGCCGGGAACTGGTTGGCAGGGAGGGTGTGGCCAAGGGGGGACGAAGAAGGCCCAGAACCCAGCCTGGGGCCAGCACACAGCACTGGCAGGCCCCTCTGAGAGGTTCCACAGGGAGGAAGTGTGATGTGTCCCCTATACTGGGCAGGAGGATGGTGGGTACTGGAGAGAAATGGATGAACCTTTGTTATGTCAAAGAACCCAGTATCCCCTGTTGTGTTGCAGGACACAGGAGACTCAGCTTTTATGCTAGGTTTTATAGTCGTGTTTATTTTTAACTTCTTGGGTTAAAACCCGTGATCCTGTAGGGAAGCCTTGTTTTGGCTTTGGCTGCCTGTTGACTGCAGATGTGTAGCCTGTTCAGTTGGCCAAGGGTCAGCAGGGCAGGCTACTTGGTGTCAGGGACACACGGGGATCCTGCTCTTTTGTGGCCCACAAGGTGGATGCTGCCTTTCCAGGAATGAATCCCAGGAAGGGATGGGGCAGGTGCAAATGATTGTGAGTGGCTGAGGATTGTCACACGATATTGTTTCAATGGTGAAAAACTAGGAACAAGCTAAATGCCCATATATAATGGGCCAGTTACATGGATTATGTTACGTGGGTAGAATGAATCAAGGAAATGCTATGACTTTTAAATGCCACACACAGCATGAGGGCTTTTTATATATTTATAGGCATAAAAACAATCCAGGGAAGATCTAAATCAAACATTTGGCCCAGGTTATCTCTGGGGAGTGGGGCCACATGGGAATTTTCACCCTTTCTCTATCTTATTACTGATCGTAAATGAATATTATCAGAAAACAAGAATAGACAGTTCCCGTTACAAGTAGCTAGATGACATAGGAGCGCAGGGAGGTGGCTGTGTCCCCACGGGCCTGACCCCTGTCTCGTTGCCCGCAGTATTCCCGGCAGGAGCAAGAGGAGGAGGGCCGGAAGCGGTACGAAGCCCAGAAGCTGGAGCGCATGGAGACCAAGTGGAGGAACGGGGACATTGTCCAGCCCGTCCTTAACCCAGGTCAGTCAGAGCCGGGTGTAGGCATGGCAGCACCCAGCAGCAGGTGCCACTCCTCATGGGAACACACAGGAGGAGGGCACGTGCAGGGGTGGGGCACGTGCAGGAGGGGGAATGCGCAGGAGGGGGGTGTGCATGGGGGGGAGAATGCACGCAGGAGGGGTCACGCACAGGAGTGGGACATGTGACCAGGCCTTGCTAGTGTTACTCGAGGCTTCCCAGGTGACGAGCGCACTCTCCTGGAATGTGGTTCTCTTGGTCCCCAATGAGGACTGTCCCCTTGCCCTGCCCTGAGCCCTGCAAACCCTTCCAGTCTCAGCTGACAGACAGCAGGAAGGGACCTCAGGGAGTCCCAGGAGGGCACCGCCACACGTAGAGCTTCCATTGCCAGGCAGGGGGCACATACCTATTTACAGAGAATTTTTTTTGTTGCATCTTTCCCTCAGTTCTCTGGGGAGCTTGTTTGTGACAGGATTTCCAGCTCATCAAAAGGAAAAGAGACAAAACGACAGCAGCTACTTAAGCATCATTTCCTCCCGCTTATCTATTCAGACATTCGATGGGGGAGGTGACTGCTGCCCCCACCCCCGGGCGGGCAATTGGCCTCCGTGGTGTGCCTGGGCTTCCCGTCCTTTCTCCTTCAGATCCAGTGTGCTCCGGCTTTAATAAAATGTTCATCCAAAATTCATACAAATGGACGATAGGCTGTTTACCCTCAAGAAAGGCCTTTCCATCCTGAGAACTCCTCTGGTTCCCAGAAACAATTCAGGGCAGGAGCCCTGGAGGGTGCGTCTGTCCCCCTAGGAATACAGAGACTTTGAGGGGCCTTCCTGATAATGGGCATTGCCCCATCCCCCATCCCACCCTCCCAAGAGGACTCCTTTAGAACGCACTTTGCACGTCTGTGCCTCGCTCTGACCACCCTGATGTGTGCCTGTCCCTGCAGGCTTCCATGGGTGCCTTCCTCAAGCGAGACCGCAGCCTGGGGAGGGCTTTGCTGCCCCTACTGGTGCTTCCCGAGGTGGATGTTTGAGTTCCTGACTTGGTTTCTCTCCCTTTTTGCTCCGTCCCCCACAGTGTCGGGGTACCTGCCAAGCAATCCCTTTCCCCTCACATGTGCCTGTGGTGTGAGCTCTGCTCGAGTCCACCTGCACCTAGCCCTGCCCGGCTTCTGTCCATATTTGGCAGCTAGGGGGCATGGTGGAACCCAGTGGGTATGTGATTCGAACATGGCTCTCTGGGCTTGGTCGCGGCATGCTGCAGGCATGCCCTTGATTTCCTGGTAGCATTGACTAAAGGGCCAGAAGGAGTCTGTGCATCTGTGCTCTCGACTCCTTTGTATGTCTCTGACACTTTCTGTGTTCCAGTCTCATCCTGCCAAAAGCAGACAGTTGTCACTTTAGGCTGGTGGGAATGTGTGGGTTGGTAAAACCTTTACTATAGGTTTCTTTTGTTTTTACACCTGCTTTTCTACAAACATCAGTAAAAAAAAAAGGTTAACCTGGCAGTATTAATAGAAAGAATGGTGCTGCTTTGATGAAGCTCCAGTGAAATGGGATTTTTAAGGAATAAGATGTAAATAGACAATGAGTGTATCAACACAGCGATTCACAAGAGGGGCCCGGGGCGCTTACCAGGCAGACAGTAACCACAGGCCCAGCCCTGCTTCCGGGAGGGCAGCCCAGTGGGCAGGCAGCAAGGACTGTGCTGGGATTCGAGGGAGGGGAGGTGTCTAAGGAAAGAAGCCAACACAGTGCTTGGGGCTTCAACCTGGAGGGGTTGAATGGTGGCTTTCCCAGAAGGCACTTGGGTATAGACCTAAGTCCTGGAACCTGTGATGGGCCTTTCTGGAAAACAGGTCTTTGCTGATGTGATTAAATCTTGAGACGAGGGAATCAGCCTAGGTTACCAGGTAGGCCCTAAGTCCAGTGCCAAGTGCCCTTATGAGAGACAGAAGAGGAGACAGTGTCTCTCCTAACAGCAGGCTGGGGGCGGGGGCAGGAGAGGCCCTGGGTGGCACGTGGGGGCTGCTTGGACCCACCTTTCCGTGTGCAGTTTCTGGAGAGAGCTTGGGGACTAGACCCAGGGGGCTGAGAGGGTGGGGCAGTGCCCATACCTGGCTCTGGCTTTGAGAACCATGGGGGTAGATCCTGGCTCACTCCAAGCTTTGACCGTCTGAGAAACTAAAATCACTCCAAGCTTTCAATCAGTTTCCATTCCTTTACTTGAGATATATTCTGAGTTTGCCATTCTCTGATTGTCAATCTGATATGTAATTTCTTTCAGAATCTGTTATTGACCAATGATGTCATTCAGTGTTGGCATTCTAAACTTTGAGATTTCCTGACAGATTTTTGCAAGTTTTTATTTTGACTTTGCTGTGTCTTTTAAAAATGCATCTTCCTCAGATGATCAGATCAGAGGCCCAGGCTTTAAACGTTTCCTAAGGAGTCACATGTCTACTCTTTCTTTAGCCTTTTTGAGCATCTGCATTTCTGACTGCAGTTTCCTAGTGGACTGGCAGGGTTAGACTCATCTCTGTAGTCAGGGCTGCCTAGTGTCCTCCAGAGCCAGGGGTGGACTCATCCGGGACCAGCCTGGTCTCCAGTATGGTGGCACTGCCTGGATGACTTGGGTTCGGCAGGGGCAGTGGGGAACAGAAGCTCAGGGAGAAAGGTGTGTGTGCCTTTGGCACTGGGGTCTTTCTAAAGGGTAGAGAACATACTCTGCCCCTTCTGGGAGGACCCTCCCTCCTGCCCTGGAGAGGCAGTTTTGACCTTCGACTTGTCTCCCTCCCAGCTCTTCTTCCCTGCCCCTACCCATCCCACAGATACCCCGTATCTGAACCTAGAGCCAGATTTCAGATGTTTGCATAGCAGCCTCCACAGAGGGGGGGCCTCGTCCTTCAGGTATCTTCTCCAAGTCTGAGAGTTCTTTAAAAGCAGCTATAATTTGTCAATACAGAATTTTATAAAGCCAGTTGTACTTATTGTTCTCTCCATTCAACAAGAGAAAATACAATTACCTCGAGCTCTTCAGATTCATAGCTGTCAGCTTTAACTGTGTAGGGACTGCTTGGCCAGGGCAGTCGAGTTTATGACATCAGTTCCAGTGCCTGCCTCGTCCCTCGCCCTTGGACGGTAAACGGTGTTCATTTCCAAGTCTGGTCCAGCCCTGCCAGTGCAGCTGAGTCTTGGCAGGTCACCCAGATCCTGGTTCCTGGGTTGGGATCTGCCTTCATGGGGTCAGGCAGAGCTCCAGCCAGGCCCCAGGCAGGTTTGCCTAAGCTGTCCATGAGGGTGCAAAGGCTGAGTGGCCTGGCCAGGTGGGGGGTGCCACCCTGGATCTGAAACATCTTCTTCCTGATGCCCCTGGCTGTCCGACCAGGCCAGTAGTCCTGTTCCTGTAGGCACTAGGTTGAGGGGGGTGGGCATAAGGGAGGCAGGAGAGGTTGTGAGAAGAAGGTAGGTTCTGCAGTTAGACTGCCTGGATTTGAATCCCAACTCTGCTGCCTCAGAGACTTAATCTTCCTGTGCCTCAGTTTCCTTAACTGGAACAGAGATGATGAAACTACTGAAATAATAGAGTTACTGAGATGTGGTGATACAGTGCACACGAAGCAATGGAAATAACATCTCTATCACACAACACGGGCTCAGAAAAGGCCAGTTTGTGTTTGTTTATGGCCATGTAACCCTCACTTGTTGCTGCCCTGGGGCTTGTCGACTTGGATTCCTCACATTATTTTGAAACTGCAGGTTCAAAAATCAGGCACTGTGTCATTCAAGTCTGTGGTAGCTGCTATAGCAGATAAACTTGGAAATCCTGGTACATAACTCAATAGCAGTTTACCTCTTGCTTAGGTAAAGTCCAGATTGGGATTTTCTAATCAGAAATGGTTCTTCTCCAAATTTTGAGAATTCAGGGATCCAGGCTCCTTCTGTACTGTAACTCCGCCATCTTTAATGGTAACCTTGGAGGTTACCCCAGAAGGGGACATACTAGGGTTGCCCATACATCTCAGGTATTCCTGAGTCCAGCTTGGAAGTGGCATATAGCTCTTCTGGTCACATCCCTGTTTCATCCTTCTTTGTGTACACAGGACGCCCCCTCAATAGTGACCACCTGAAATCCTGTCCGGCCACTGCAGTGATCTCAGCAGTATCTGGGTCATGTACCATCTTTTCCATTGTGTTCAGATGCAATTCCTCGTGGTCCTACAGCCAATGAACTAGAAAGACGAGTTATCTGCACCCCCACCCTTTATCTGGTGGTGGGAGAGAGAGTGGGAGAACAGACATGCTAATTTGGGAACTGGAAGAGCGGGGGGCTACACAGGAGCCCCTGCTCCAGGCAGAGGTGAATCAGACCCTGATTCCTCTCTTGGGGAGGAACTCCATGGCCCTTGGCTCTGCATCTGGAAGGTTCTTTCTTATCCATGATCCTCCCTGCCTCATCCAAAGTGGGCATTGGGGAGTGAGCTCACAGCCTACCTTCTGGTTGTATGAGTTTGGGGCCCCAGAGGTTACTTGAAGGCTTGAACAGTCAAAAGTTTTTTTAGTCCAGGCTCATTCAGGCTCTTTATGAACTTAGTAGGCATCTAATCTGTTTGCATTGGCATTTCTGTATGACAGTGTTCTTTCCAGGCTTGAGGCATCATTCCCAAGCTGGGGTATTTTGTTACTTTCTCATCCTCTTTACTCTCAATACACATGTGGGTGGGAAAACCACACTTTAATCTGATTCTTGACACAAGGCTGAGTCTTTATGGGCCTTTGATTTCGAAGTCTCCCTCAGTTCCTGGGCAAAAAGCAATAGACTTTTCCAGTCCCCAGATTTCTGGACTCTATTCGGTTTCAGTTCTGCTTTCAAGCTGGGATTTCTTTCTTAAGCTCATTTCTTTCTTGACCTGTGTGCTAAGAGCAAAAAAATAAAAGCTCACACTGTGACTCTTAACTCTTTTAGCCTCTTCCCTTAGCATTATAGCTCTGCAGGCATTGATAACTGACCACATGTCCCACCTTTTAAGCCGGGTGATCATAGCAGTGTCCCCTCTGACTCTCAGAAGAAAAGTTTTCATTTGGACAGCACTCCATTTCTGGTACCAAATGTATGTTTTTGTTCTGGCAACACCAGCAGCTGTAACAGATACCCTGTAAGTCTCAGTGACTGAACCCTATATTTAGCAGGGCCTTTTCACATATGCCCTAAGAAAAAATGTGTGTGCCGGGAGCAGTGGCTCATGCCTGTAATCCCAGCACTTTGGGATATAGAGGTGAGAGGATTGCCTGAGCCCAGGGGTTCAAGACCAGCCTGGGCAACTTGGTGAGACCTCATCTGTAATCCAAAAATTAGCTGGGCGTGGTGGCACATGCCTATAGTCCCAGCTACTCAAGAGGCTAAGGTAGAAGGATTGCCTGAGTCCAGGAGGTCGAGGCTGTGGTAGCTGTGAGTATGTCACTACACTCCATTCTGGGCAACAGAGTAAGACTTCGGCTAAGAAAGAAAGAGAGAGAGAGAGAGAGAGAGAGAGAACACAGAAGAGGTCTGCATTGAGGATGGTACACCCTTCTCCACAGGAAGTGCCTGTACTGAGACCTATGAACCAGACACAAGGACAAATAGAAGCAGCCTCTGCCCCCACAGAGCCCTGAGAAGGGAAGGAGAGCTTGGATGTGGTCTGTGGGTGTGTTTTGTTTCCCGTGATACTTAGAAGACCCCCTGCAACAAGTTCTGGGTCAGGATCATTCTTTTTTTTTTTGAGTCGCCCAGACTCCGGCGATCCTTCCGCCTCAGCCTTCGAAGTAGCTGGAACTATAGGTACATACTACCATGCCCGGCTAATTATTTTTTGATTTTTGTAGAGACGAAGTCTCGCCAAGTTGTCCAGGAGGGTCTCGAACCCGCGGGCTCAGATAGTCCACTTGCCTCGACCTCCCAAAGTGCTGAGATTACAGGCTGAACCACTGAGCCCGGCCAGGACCATTCTTGATCCCACCAGCTTTTTCACTACTGAGAACATTACTTGTCTAAGGCCAGACCTAGGAGCCCCTGTCTTCATCTGAAGTATGTCTCTGGGTCTCAGTGGCCCTGTGGGAGGCTCATTCAGCAGCTCTCCCAGGCAGGAAACAGTTGTGATCTTGTTACTGACCAGAAGGTGTCAGGCAGGCGGACACGAGCACACCTGGCCGGGTGACACGGGTGCCTGCTCAGGGGAGACTGCCTCAGTTTCCCCTGTACCTGTTGAGAAAGGAGAGTGGCGGGGAACCGTGCCTGCCTTCTGGATTTGTTCGACACTTTTTTGTGAATGCAGTCTTTTATAGGTATTTCAGTAGCAGCCTGGAGTGATTGAAACTCCCAAGGAATTTGCAGCTCTTGGAAGATTTGGGCGAGCGAATTTGGGGAAGATGAGGGGCTGAGTGGGCGAGAGGAGAGAGCCTCATGCCCTGGAAAATTCCGGAAACACTGTTGGTGCTTTTTATAAAACTGGAGATGAAAGTCAGATGGATCATTTCGACCCGGATGGGTGAGGGGTCACACGTAACCATAGGACCAGAGGCTTTGAGATATTTGGTGACTACCCACGGACATGGCCTTGTGGGGTGCTGATGGCCCCCAAAATCACAGTGTGACACACTGACAAAATGATTAACGAATCCTTGAATGCCCTTGCTCTCCCCAACCCTGGCCTATTGGGAGACATCGGTTTTCCCTGGAGAAATCACATCGCAGCTGATGGCCACGGACGCCTTTGCTGACCACGTGGCCATCAGGGCAGTTTCAGCACCACAGACCATCCAGCTGCAAAGTCCGTCTACACCACACCTAATCTCTCTCCTTTGTACTTCCAGAGCCAAACACTGTCAGCTACAGCCAGTCCAGCCTGATCCACCTGGTGGGGCCCTCGGACTGTACCCTGCACGGCTTTGTGCATGGAGGTAAGATGCAGCCCGGCACTCCCTTCCACTCCCAGCTCTCACTCATGTCCCAGGAGGCCGTGCGGCCATCTGACCCAGTTTGGGCTCTTGTGTTTAGTGAAGTAGAAACTTAAACTTTTAAGAGGTTGCATAATAAATTACCGAAATACTGGTGGTGCCTGTTTTTCAAATTGGAAATGAAAGTCAAATGGATGACCACATCCCAGGGGAGGGTCCCGTGCAACCCTGGGACCTTCTAGCTGTGTCTAATGACTGCCTGTGGGTCCGGGAGCAGGGGGTGAGGGGGGCAGGGACAGGGACAGGGCCTCACGGGGGTGCTGACATCCCCAGAGAGAAGCATTGTGACTACTCACAAAGAGTGGCCAATTAGTAATGCTTCTCCCTTTGATGTTTGCATTTATTTTTTCCCAATAAATGCATATTCCTCCTGAAACAATGTAGGCCTCAAAGGCCCCATCTCAGGCCTTCCCAGAGTTTGGGAAACAGTTGGAACACAAGAACTCATCCGGGTTCACAGACGGACACTGTTTACTTTAATAATATATGATTGTTTTTAGGATTTAGGAAAAATATCTTGAGACTGAAATAAACCTTAAGAAACAAGTCTCTGAGGAAAAACAGGAAGGAAATTATAGTTAGTGGAATATGTGGTTGCAGACGCTGTGCAGGTGGCATGTGGGGTGTTGGCACTTGGGCAGTGCTGTTCTGGTACACTGAGCTATTTGGCATTCCAGGCATAGCAGGTACTTTTGCCCAATGCTGTTCATTTATGTCGTCATTTCTAATGGCCTGGAATGACAAATTCTTCTCCACTCAGAAAACTCCTATTCATCCTTCAAAGCCCAGCTCAAATGCCACTACCCTTTGCCTTAGATACAGGGCCTGGATCTTATCCTTTATGCTGGCTCCAGATCCCACACAGAGTCAAAGGGGGAACTCTGCAGACCCTCACTCTGAATGAGAGACGCAGATGACTGTTGGGTTGAGGGACAGTGGGACCTGGGCCTGTCAGAATCAGAGAGCGGGTCTTGATTCGAGATGTTCTTAAAGGTTTTTTTTTTTTTTTTAAACTAATGCCCTTTTGCATATTTCTTTCTTCGATTTCATGATTGTTTTCCTTTCTCCACTAAATGCTGGCTGCTTTGCCCTTAAATCTGATGAACTTGGGTCCTGCCCAAGGACGGCTCTACTCCATATTGCAGTGTTTCCCGGTCCACGAATATGGTGACAAGTCTGAGTGTCTTTCATCCCTGAGAACAGCTGTGGCCTCGTACGCGTCTCCAGTCCCCTTCCTCACTGGCCCCCATGTCTCCCCAGTCGCTCAACTTCAGTGGGCTACAACCCCCTTTCAGGGCCTGGCCACCTCAAGCCCAGGCTTCTGTGACTTGGAAGAGTTGTCCTTGGGCCTCGTACAGCTACATTCTACCTGTAGTTGGTGAAACTCCATGCTACAATTTTTGCTTATCTTGTCTGCATGTTGGAAGTTTTTCACTAAATGCAGCATTTCCGTTATCGCTGTCTCCTTGGTGAAAAGTCACAGTCTTAAGCCCTGTCTTTCTTTGTGTATGAAAGGCATCAGTGAGATGCTAGGAGAGAACTCTTGGAAAACCCCCTTAAAAATTTCCAGCAAAAGCTGGGCTCGGTGGCTCAGCCTGTAATCCTGCACTTTGGGAGGCTGAGGTGAGTGGATTGCCTGAGCCCGCGGGTTCGAGACCCGCCTGGGCAACTTGGCAAGACCTCATCTCTACAATAAATCAAAAAATTAGCCAGGCGTGGCAGCGCGTGCCTGTAGTTCCAGCTACTTGGAAGGCTGAGGCGGAAGGATCGCCGGAGCATAGCAGGTCGAGGCTGCGGTGGCCGGGAGCAGCCACTGCACTCCAGTCTGGGCAACAGAGTGAGACTCCAACTCAAAAAAAAAAACAACAACTTTCCAGCATGTTATTTTCATCTACAGAGTCTAAGCTGCTTCATTTAATGCAGCCACATTTTTAAATGTGTATTAAGAAGCATTTACAGTGGCTTTACAATACTTAATGTCTGTTTTAGTAGGGATTTTGTGCCCACGATTTTTACAAATATGCCTGAGAATTTTACCAAGCCTAACTGTCTCTTATAATGTCTGGTAACTCAACAGGAGCAAATGAATGAAATAAACACTGGGTTGGAAATCCCTAGGAACTGTGGTTTTATTGTATTTTCCCATAGAGTACTGTTGACAAGAACAGCACCTAAAATCATTTGAATCATAGTCTTAACTAAACTGTAATTCAGTAGCTGCCAATGGCACAAGAAAATGGTGAACTGAAGTAGATGACAGGTTAGGTTTTATTTGGTAATTCCACACTGTGGATGTGTCTGAACAGCTGTGCCCGCGTCCTGTTTGCTCCAATTTCCACACATTGGCCAGCCTTCATCTTTAAATAAACCCGTGAAAGGTACACTGGGGAGGGAGGAGCCTTCCTGGCTTGGAATCGCAGGTAGAATCCAGTTCTCCAACCAGACATCGTTCATTTCTTCTCCTGAGTGCGTGGTCAGAACCTCTTGAGCTGAGGGAACAGAAAAGATCCGGGGAATAAGCCAGCGGATGCCAAAGGCCACTTGTTCCCACGTGTGGGAGGGTGGGCTGGCTGCGTCTGTATGTTCTGAATTGAAGTGCATCAGTGCAGCATGAGCCTGGCTTCTGCATTCCCTGAATCCTGAGGGAATTGCTGCATGGTCGCCCGTTCTGAAAAGTGCTGGGTGTCAGCCCAGAAAAGACCAGCTTCCTCCCTGCTCTCCCCTCCACGGCCCCATTCCCCCATTTTGCTTGTACAGCCTAAAAGGGTGATTCAGCAGAGAGCTGTGGGGGTCCAGACCTCGGGTGAGAGAGGTCCTCAGGGTTTAGCCCATAGCCCTGTTCACAGTAGACCCCAGAGGAGTCTTCAACATGCATTCTTCACTTCTCAGCTTCTGGAGGCCTTGGCTTTTTGTGGGCACTTTAAGTTAATTGTTTTTAAAGTAAAGTATTATGGAAACAATCCAAAATGACTTTTGACAAAACGCAACTCTCTCATCTTCCCTTCTCTCTCGCATTCCACTTCCAGCAGTCCTGTCTTCTGATGCTTGACTCTGTTTTCCTAAAAGTTAACTTTTATGCTGTTCCTTGATGTGTAAGTTTCAGATACACCATCCACTGCTGAGCCAGGTAGAGCACTATGATTACATTTCTGTGTAACGTTGTTGTTACAGTAGCTAGCTGTTGCCTCCGCACCCTCAGCAGCTCTCGATACAGTTGTGCCTGCCACATCAGCACTCAGTGTGTTTTCCCAGAGGGTTCCAGCCTCCTCCTTCCTCCTCCAAATTGCTTGTTCCTGTGCCTGCTCTGAATGCTCCCCAGAGGCAGCCTTTGCCTCTCACCTGGGTTGGACGCCCTGATTCATGGATCTTTGATTTTCCTCTTTGCTGGTTTTGGTGGAATGCGTCCTCCAGGGGCTTCCCACAGAAGCAGTATATTAACTAGAACAAAGGCTCAGCTGCCGTAACAAAGGCTCAGACAGCAGTGGAGCAGTGGCTCCTACAAGAGAGAGAGTTTGGTTTTTTTTTTTTAATGCAGTGATGCAGCTGAGAGAGGTCCAGGGCTGATACACAGCCCGTGGTGGCAGTCTGTGGTGCTGGGGACTCAGACTCCTTCTGCCCTGTTGTTCCGATATCCTGGGCTGCCCTCACCATGTGGTACACATCTCTCCATCAGTGCCCCAGCCCAAAAGGTGGGGGTAGGCGGGGCTGGGGATCACACCAGGAACCACACCCCCACTTACGTTCCCATCTCCCTTTGTTGTCAGTGACTGTGTCTGCAGGGGAATCTGGCTGGACAGACGTGTGTTAACGCTGGAATTACTAAAGAAGAAAGGAATATTCTGTCACAGGGTGTAGGGTCATTTTTCTGAGCTTAGCGTCCTCTGGCTGAGTGTGACATCCTAGGTTGGTAGCATTCTCCCAGGGCCTGGGAGGCATTGCCTGTGTCTTCAGCCTCCGGGGTCTCTGCCGGGAACCCTGGGACAGTAGATTTTTCTCTCCACTCCTGGCTACTTTTGCCTGCTGCTGCCCTGGTCTTTCCTTCCCATCCAGCCTCCAGGCCTGCCCTGATCTTCCAACTGAGCTTTTATCATGAGTGCGTGTATCTGAAGAACAGATCGTATGGTGTGCAGTTTCTGGGCGTTTCTTCCTCGTGCAGTAATGCTCTTCTCTCCCTGGAGACCACCAGGCTAACAGGCCCCGGTGATTCTGCTCTGCACTCACACTTAGAACCACAGTCCTGGTGGGCTGGGTCCACCCAAGTGTTCAGTAGGTCTGGGAGGGGCCTGAGAACTTGTATTGCTACCAACTTGCTGTGATGCTGATGCTGCTGGTGTGGAGGTGCCCCCTGGAGAACCGCTGCTCTGGAGCAGAGCCCCCACTGCGCCCTGCCCCGGCCTTCTGGACCTTGGCCACTCTCCAGCCATCGCTCCTGGCCAGCCTTGGTGGCAGTTTTCCCTGTGTGTTGTGAAGAGGTCCAAGTCCTGTCTGCAGCCGACCGTCCCCTCTACTCAGCGTGCCTGCCCGTACCCCTGTCTCTGCTTAGAACGATGGGGTCCTCCTTTTCTTTCCCCGTCCTGGCTCCTGCCCTCTCACCCCACTGGCCGCTCCTCCCTTGGACCCCGTCCACACCTCCCTCTTCTGCCAACACCAGTGCACTTTTGGTGTTGGTGTTTCCCCCAGAGGTTGTAGATCCATGGTCTTGTCCCTGTTACCTGGTAGGGTCACCTGGGAAACTCCAACAATTGCAGACACTCAGGCCTCATCTGATGCCTGACCCAGACACTGGTGGGGAGGCCCAGGAGCTGGTTGTTTTTCAAGCTCCCCAGGTGGTTCTGGGGGCAGCCTGGGGTAGAAACGCCATTGTGATTGTTCAAAAAGAGAAATAGCTGGAGAAAGAACTTTCCTCGAACCTAGTGCCCAAGGGAGTTTTTCCTCCTCAGAAT